GCTTCATTTAACTGCACGACCCTGCAGTGCGTAAATATCCCCATGAAATAAAGTTACTAGCTCATAGATATTACCTAACAGAACAAGACATGGACTGGTTGCTTTGTTATGCGATGAGGGACACTGGATACTTAAAAAAATACCGATTTCTGCTGGCAGACGAAGTGTAGAAAATTCAAATCTAACCACCATTCGTTCATCTGTGCAAGCATCAACATGCACGAACAAAGTATTTCGTTGTTATTGTTTAAGCAGCATCGGCTCACGGGTCGCTCGGCTACAACAATCGTCAACGAACGAGATTTTTCGTTTAAATAATCTCTGAACTGTCTACATTGGAGTGCTTATGGGGCAACTGTCTCTGAACTATGTACATTGAAATGCACCGCCAATGACACCTCCATTAAAAAGTAGACCGTTGAAGGCGTCGTTCGGATATTGAGCGGACTATAGTGTTGTGGAAAAAGAAACGCATCCTGAACTATTTTTGGACTAGAGAAATCTCTTGCAGGGGACTTGTTCGCACGCACACAGTGACTTCAATTGCACGCACTCTACAAAAATGCTCTGCCGAAGCTGCCCAAAATTATGCCGGTAACGTTGTTACGATGAACGGACGTTGTTGCGACATGATACCAAACTTTGTATATCCTGAATTAGATGACATGGACTTGGAAAACATGTGGTTTCAATAGGACGGTGCCACGAGCCACACAGCGCATGAAATAAAACGCGAACCTCTGCGGTCTTATTGAATCACTCCTTACATACATACATACATACCGATAACCGCCATTTTAAGACATAATTATTTAGATTTTGAAACAGTTTTAAGCTAATCAGGGGGTTACTCTGTAATGCGATGCGAAAACAAATGATTCGAATTCGCGCAAACACATCGTAAGTCATACACAAGGGTGGTTGCCTACCGCATCGAATATTTCTGTCCAGTCGCATTACGGTGTAGCCTCCAGCCATCAGTCTGAACGGAAAGATGATAAACTGAATACTTTTTTGAAAAATACCATCGAACACCTACTTCACAATGTGCATATATGAAACCAATCCAGCTTGTTTGAGGATATGAATTTCCTTCTTGATTGGCGCTGTAATCGACTAAGCGCCATTTTCTAAAGTAACCTTTAACTTTAAAACTTGCTTTATATTTAAAGGTTGGATTAAAAATGAAACTACGTCTATCGGTTTTTGACGTNTCTGAACTATGTACATTGAAATGCACCACCAATGACACCTCCATTAAAAAGTAGTCCGTTGAAGCCGTCGTTCGGATATTGAGCGGAAACTAGTGTTGTGGAAAAAGAAACGCATCCTGAACTATTTTTTGACTAGAGAAATCTCTTGCAGGGGACTTGTTCGCACGCACACAGTGACTTCAATTGCACGCACTCTACAAAAATGCTCTGCCGAAGCTGCCCAAAATTATGCCGGTAACGTTGTTACGATGAACGGACGTTGTTGCGACATGATACCAAACTTTGTATATCCTGAATTAGATGACATGGACTTGGAAAACATGTGGTTTCAATAGGACGGTGCCACGAGCCACACAGCGCATGAAATAAAACGCGAACCTCTGCGGTCTTAGGTCGGTGTTATGCAGAAATTTTGTTTGGCAAACTGCGTGCAATTGTTGTTGCAGCAAACTCGGAGAGAGCGAGTTTGGCGACTCTCACAGCAAACTAATTTTGTTTGGTCAAACTGCAGCAAATTCGGTGTTGTCATATACAAAAATTTTAAATTTTGCGCGTTATGTAGATCTGAAATTCTCATTTCGTGTTGGCAATAGCCATGAAAACCATAATGAACGTGCAACCCTGTGCCAAACTCGGCATAACCACCTCCGAGCAAACTAAGCAGCCGCCATTTAATTTGGCAAACAAAAGTTTGTCTGCATAACACCGACCTTATTGAATCACTCCTTACATACATACATACCGATAACCGCCATTTTAAGACATAATTATTTAGATTTTGAAACAGTTTTAAGCTAATCAGGGGGTTACTCTGTAATGCGATGCGAAAACAAATGATTCGAATTCGCGCAAACACATCGTAAGTCATACACAAGGGTGGTTGCCTACCGCATCGAATATTTCTGTCCAGTCGCATTACGGTGTAGCCTCCAGCCATCAGTCTGAACGGAAAGATGATAAACTGAATACTTTTTTGAAAAATACCATCGAACACCTACTTCACAATGTGCATATATGAAACCAATCCAGCTTGTTTGAGGATATGAATTTCCTTCTTGATTGGCGCTGTAATCGACTAAGGGCCATTTTCTAAAGTAACCTTTAACTTTAAAACTTGCTTTATATTTAAAGGTTGGATTAAAAATGAAACTACGTATATCGGTTTTTGGCGCGTGTATGTTTCCTGGTTGTAAATCAATTAAAAACCGATAATAAAATGCTTTACTTTAGACACAATCATAAATTTTAATGCAATCTTTATACATATATAAAGTGAGCTTTAAAGTTAGAGGTTACTTGAGAAAACGGCCCTAAGTGATTTAGGTCGAGTCCAGTTGTTTTTCTTAAATGCCAACTGACAGCAATTAGAAGTGGGAAGTGGAACATGCCTTCCGTCTACCCCGACATTATCGATTTGGCTTCTAATTTTTCGATCTGGATAGCCACGTATCTTAATGGATATTCTTATGCTGAAACCTATTGCTGCAGACTACCATGCTGCGGGCCCCGGCGAAGTCGACCAACCTCAGTCCATTATCAGACGTTTCGTCGTGAAGGCTACATTTTCCAACGTTGGACCAAATATCGCTTCCTTGCCTGCCCTGGCTCTAAAACTATCAAGCACGGTTTTAATATCGTAGCGCTAGTAAGTGTGGTGTTCGAAGAGGTTATAGAATAGGCCTTTGAGCGCCTCGTCCGAGATATTGAAGAAATCTCGCTTCGATGCTGATTGTGGCGAGAAACTCGTTTCCGGAGTGAACGACTGTACGCGGCTACAGAGTCTCCCTCTCGACAACGAATTTGCGCTCTTTTACATGGTAGCTGGAGTGGTGGATGTCAGCCTTATCTTCCCGAGGGCTTCAGAAATCCGGGAAGAGGAAGCCTTTAAGAATTTGGATCTTCCAGCGGCTGGATTCTGTAGCTGTGAGTTTCCAAGTGTACACTGAACGTTGTGTGCACGCTTCGTTTTGCGATTCAGGAAGTGTGAGAATGAGTTTAACTGTCAAAATTGTGTACACCTCTCTTCCGAAAAACTCACAGCCCTCGGTATACACGCCATTTTCTCACAGTTAACGGATCCAGGCGCAGGTGCTTTCCTTCAAATCGTAGTCCTTTTTGCGCTCACCGGGGTCGTAATCTGAAGAAGCGGTTCCCATCCGAGGCAAGTTTGGGCTATTCATTGGTACTTTTCGTAATTATGCCAACCCCATTGCAAGAGGTCGCTTATAGTTTCATTATGTAGGTTCTGAGATCCCCGAAATTGCAAATAACGAATTAGCATTCATGTCCTAAAATGTAAGGATTCTTACAATTCGAAGCCCCCAAACTTTATCTTTTATCCCGCCCTATTTACCTTCATTACATTTTGGAATTGCCTGCATATAAACTTTCATTCATCCCTCGCCTCTCTTTAATAAAAATTTCATGAAATCAGAAGAGCGCGCTAAATGTGTAATTACTTATGGTCTAAGTATGCATACTTCGCATAACTTCGCACAACATCGCATAAACTTTAAACAGTAATTTCGTATGTACTTTGTATGTATTCCATTACCCACAAATTAACAGAACTTTTAAAAAAGTTAAAGTTACATTTCTATTGCACTGGTACAAATGGTTGTGCGAAGTTATGCGAAGTATAAATAATCAGACCTTTAGGTCATTTATTTGTCCTCAAACATCGAAATACATAATATGGTTGTATACATACCCTTGTTGTCAGCTGATTAAGTCAGGTGACATTTTGACTAGTTTTGGCTATTTTTCTTTTGCTTTTTATTTAATGGTTGTTTTTTTTTTTTTAAAAGTCTAGCACCTTACCCAACGGCGCCACATAAATCCACATTTCATACTTCGTACAAAAATTATGAAAATTCAAAAAACTTTAAAATTTGCACCCAAAAATTTTAAACTTTTTATTTTGAGTTTTTAGAAAAATGTGGGGTATGCAGTTTGGTGGGAGACAATAACACCATAGACAATAAGACCATAATGGCTTTATTTCATTTTGCGATTGGAAGTAAAACCACACTTTCGATACGGCCTTATTTCCAACTGGAAATGGAAACTCCATTGTGCAATTTTGAATTTGACTTTATTCCACTTCTGGATTGGAAATAACAACATATGGTTTTATTTCTAAAACAAAATGGAAATAAGACCATATGGCCTTATTGCGTATGGTGTTATTGCACCCCACCATGCAGTTTTGTAGCTCATTAAATTTTAGTAGTTTAAAGTGCAAATTTCAAGACGCTAGAAAATCGCGTTGATTTTTAATATTTTTTTTTTGGTTGACGGTGTTGTGCATTTTCTTCCATATAAAATATGCTCGACAATTTCGTTTGTATGGGAGAAAATGCCTAGCGCCATCAGCAAAAACAAATTTTTAAAAATCAACGCGATTTTCCAGCGTCTTGAAATTTGCACTTTAATTTTTCTAAAAATTCAAAATGAAAAGTTTAAAGTTTTTGGGTGGAAATTTTTAAGTTTGTTGAATTTTCATAATTTTTGTACGAAGTTTAAAATGTGGATATACATATGTGGCGCTGGTTAGGTAAAGTTATAAAAAAAATATATGAACATTAAATAAACGAAAACAAAATAGCATGGCACTTGACTTTATCAGCTGACCACCAAGAGTATATGTACATATTTTCAGTGTTAATGACACACTGTAGCTTGGTCTTCATGTTGCTTGCGATTTTGCCTTTGAATTTGCACATTGTTAATGTGTTTACTTATTCGTATAAAAAATGTTTCGCTGGTTCTTTTTGTTATTATTTTTTACTCACAATTTTTTGTTAGCACAGAATATTTGCCATTATTTTTATACAATTTGTATGTAACCGTGCAAAGAGCGCCTTGTTGCTCCATTGTTGGTTGCACTTCACGTCAAGTTCTCGCGTGTATTTATGCTGACTATAGGCAATTGCGAGTCTTATACCCATATCACACTTATGACATAGCAGAATATGCTTCTTATTTGATAGGGCATACACATGTATGCACTATTTATAAAAATACTTGTGTGCAATTGAATTGCAATGAATTCATATAGTATTTACGCGATCCCTTAGAGAACTGAATTATGTAGATATATACATATTTATGTATGTATGTACCTGTTTATTATTCACTGACCCAATTCATTCACTTCGCATCAGAAATCTTCATCAGGTGGCTGAACTTTTCCAATTAAGACCTCAGCGCAATTTCATTACATTTTGTTAACAATTTAAGTTGTAGGTAAGCTTTATTATTGGCTAACTCTGTCTTTGACAGATAAGGTCTGTTTTACGCTAGTAAAATAATTTTACGTGTCATGTTTTACAATTCGGGGAATGGCTATTACTCATTTTTTAGTACCACTATGCCAATTTCTTTACTCTTCTCCAGTATTCCGTGCAGCTTTTAATAGGTATGAAACTCCTTTAAATGATTAGAAATCTTGCGGATCATTCGGCCCAGTTATTCTCAGCGATGGTATTTACTCAAAGCTTGACACTTCAATATCTAAGCTTTTAAATAACTACAGATGAATTCACCTTTTAAAAGCTATGAAACTCCTTTAAATAAGTAGAAATATTGGGAATAATTCGGCCCAGTTATTCTCTGTGGTGGTATATAACTAGTTAGACTCTTCATTATTTAAGCTTTTAAATAACCACAGATAAAGTTAAAGATAGATGAAATTTTTCAATCGAAGTTCTTAAGCTCTTTGTATTTTCATTTAAAATCAATCCTTCGAAAATCAGATTTGTATAGGGGGATTCAAGGGTGATACGGACAGATCTTTGGCAGCACATTATTTGTTATATGTTAATATTTTTTCCACCAAAATATTGCGAAAAAATATTAAAATTTGGTGATTCGAAAATACATCCTAAAATTTCATTTTGATTCCGTTGAGAACATTTTTGCACATTTTTATGAAGACCTCTTCTTCTCTCTGAGGTGGTCTTAAAAAAACTACTTTTAAAACTACATACTTTTCTTTAAAAACAAAAATCGGTTTTAGGAGATAGTATTTCAAATGGGGGGCCGGTTCACGTAAATTTAATATTTTTCCAAAATATTTTGACGGAATTATAAAATTTATTATATTTTAAATAAATTTTATAATTCCGATTTTTTTCGTATAGACAGTGATACATCCTAATATACATATGTATGTATGTACATGCAAATGCTTATTGGTTTATGTTCACGACGACCAAAATTACCAATAGTATATATGTACAAGTATACGTTAATAAACATAAGCATAGATTTTTTCACTTGACCCTCAAAATGCTGAAAATGAAGTTACATATTATCTTCTAAGCGAAAACTAAACAAGATTTTTGCTCCAAATTTTTAAGCAATATGAAACATAATAGGTGCGTTCGACAACACAAAAATTGTTAACAGTTTTTCCTAATTTTTACAAGTTGGCGTTCGATAACGACAAAAAATTATCCATCACTCAAAAATTGAGAGAGCAAACGTTCATTTTGTGCTGGAAAAATTTTAGGCAGCAAAAATTATCCATCCCGAAAACATATGATCTGAAAACATATGGTTGCAATTTTCGTAAACAAGCAGAATTTAATTTTTCGCGTTTTGGTATTTATATGCTTTTTGGCTGTCTGCTATGTGCCTTTATAATAGTGCTAGTTTTTATTTCCAGAACTGTTCCTGGCAAACATTGAACGTCCACTTTCCTTTCTTCTTCCATAGAGGCAACATGAATTTCAGTCTGTTTACAAATAAAGCATAAACAAAGTCAGCTGGTGTGTCTTCCTCTTCCTGTTTTTGCAAGCGATTGCTAATTTTCTTTTCGTTTACTTTTTTGCTTTTTCTTCTCTTTGGGCGAGAATTTTCGCTTACGCTCTTGATTTTGATTGTTGGCTGGTGCTGGCTGATTTTGTTATCGAATACAACTAATACAACGAGTAATTTTGCGTCATAAATGCGCGATATTTACTTATATAAGTCTATAAGCAAAGAAGCGGCTCAGAAAATATCAGCGAGTTGGGATTAAAATTTGTGTGCTCTAGATGAGATCGAGTTCATAGGCTGTGCCGCGAAGTCTTTTGGCCGACTGTTGAAAATATTCAAGCAGACGTGTAGGAAGTTATAGATAACCTAGTCCCTAAAAACTTAAATAATTGTCGGTTATGCAAAGGAACGCGAATGAAGTAATTCTGCTCAGGAATGCACAAGTTCAGAGGGAACTAAATATGGGCATTTCCTGAAAAGATTCAACTCAAAGCGAAAAAAGTCCACCAAACCTGATGAAGCCGATCGATAGGTACATATTCATCTTTCAAATACTTAAATACTATACTAATGTGTCTATTTCATACCAAGATATTAACGATTAGTTAACTACTTTCCCCTATGAATTTTTCGTAGTCAGAAACCCATTTTACGGGCGGTACATCAGGCTACTGTCGACCAGAATTAGGTGCTCCAACACCCACTTTTAGAAGAGAGCAAAGCCTTGCCACAAAGCTCATCGCTGTAGAACTAGTGTAATGGGCTCTATCAACATTTAGTTCATACAAATCGGCAGGACCGGATGGAGTATACCCGTGTCTCTTTCAGCATGGAATTAGATACAAACTTTACAGTCACACTCCCAGCAGATAGTCTGAGGTTAAAGTCGCATTTTTACCAAAAATATGTAAACCGGAACAACTACCCACGTCATACCGACCAATTAGCCTAAGTTCCTTTTTCCTAAAACGTATGGTGAAGATACTGGATCAGTATATCAGAGAAGTCACCCTAAGGGAACAGTTCATAGCCTCATCTTAAAAATTGTGCAGACTCTGGAGTGCCGTTATTGGCACTTCACCATATAACGCAGTAGGTGATGCCTTGTTGAGCAAGGATAATAAATAAATAGGTTCGATCAATGCTAAGAACACGTAAATTCAGCATGGAATTATGTGGCACGACAGAATAGATAACAGCCACAAGGGGTGCCCTCGAAGGGTTTACTCCCTCCCATTTTGTGGACTATGAACAGCCAAGTATGTAAAACGCAAGGCTACGCGGATGTTCGAATAATCTGCATAACATGGCTGCATGACGAAACCATAACGAAGAGGCTGACTGCCTAGCGAAACAAGAAGCCCTCGCAGTATTTTATGGTCCGAAACCCTTTTTTGGGCTCAACAAAGCACACATAAACAACAGCCACTGGAGGGAATGTCCAGGGCATAGACAGGCCAAACTATTTATCTGTCCTTCAAAAGAAGCTTCAACGAAACTACTAAATTTAGGCAGAGAGAACCCTTCAAACTCTCACTGGGTAATGCACGGGATACTTCCCTTCGTTACAACCTCAGTAAAATTAATCTTTCTGCAGCAAACGTCGTTTTTTTTATGAGTGGGACAAGGAAATGCCAGAACACATTCTTTGTGAATGTGACGCTTTGCTAGGCGCGGACTAGCTCATTTTGGTGGTGCTTCACTTAAACCATTTGAAATATGGAATAGAAGTGCTACGCTACATCAAAAGCCATTCTATATAGCGCGGAGGGCACACACCACAGATCGCTTTAGAGGTCGCGGTGCATATGGACTATAATATTAATAACTAGCATTTACCCGACGTGCTTCACTGTGCCTTAAAAGTATGCTTGCGCTGTGTAGTACCCGTATTGTTTATTGTACAAATTTTCAAACAGGTGGCAACCCTCCTCAAACATATTTCCGGCAGCAAACTTTCCTAATTCTCTTCAGTTTGACACCCGTATTGCAATATTCAATTTATCTGTCAATTAAATTAAATTTAAAATTTTCAAGCAGGTGGCAACCTTCCAAAAAATATTTTCGGTTTTAAGCCTTTTTAAAACTCTTTATTTTGACAGCCATATTGCATTATTTACTTTATGTTATCAATTTACTCAAACTGCAATTTTCAAACAGGTAGAAACTCTCATTATTATTTTTTTCTATATTTTAAGTTAGACCTCTAGCAATACATCGGTGAAAACTGCATTCAATTCCATGCATTGGTTTCCGAGTGATGCGGGTACAAACATACAGAAGTGTGTGAAGTGCATTTAGTATTGAATGATATGTCGTCCGATTTCTGGGTGCTTGGAATATTTTGTTATAATATCCTGCCGCTTACTCTCTTGCTAAGTGTTTGGCCGAGCTTCTCCTCCAATTTGTGGTGTGCGTCCTGTTGTTACACCTGCAATATTACGCCGTCTCCTATTTCTAAATTGCATGTTGCTCACACCAGGGATCGAATTCAGGTCCTACGGAGTGATTAGTGCTCAGTAGTTTGTTAATATTATTAGCAAAAAAAAATCCCTACATATCTGCAATTCTAACAGCCCAAACATATAGTGGCCAACAAGCAAAGGAACCATAATCCGTGTAAACCCAACCATCCATAAATGGCTAAGCCAAATGCAAGACATATCTATTTGTTAAAGTTGTTTTTATTTCTCATACGTTAAGTTTCAATACGTGTTTTTTTGTAAAAAAAAAATATATCTAAATACTACATAACTCAATTGCACTTGAATCGCAAAAGTCATAAATCTAATCGAATATCCGGGGCGGTTTAACGCTACATATTCACTACTCCACTTAAGTACAATGGAACAGATAGGCGAGCAAAGTGGCGTTAAAATGTTACGATACCATCGTATCAGATTCGGGCTGGCTCGGTTATTCTCATGCTGTTGGCTGATTTTGCAGGTCTGTAGAGCAACCATATACATACATACATATGTACGGGTTTACATTGGCTATTCAAGACACTTGTTTGATTATGTGTTTGTTTTCGCAATGATAGTATCGCGTTGCGCTAAAATCGATAGCAAAATGAGCACTCGACTTAAACTCAACACTTGGCCGAGCAATTAATTGTGCCAGACAACTTAGTAATCGCAAGAAAAAGTGGGGGAATAAAATTAATTTGTAAAACGTGCAGGAGAGAACATGTTCGCTAAAACGCGTTCATTCATTCAAACCGTAAACTTAGTATTATGCGATTTTAAAAAATTGTGGACTGCACTTCTGAATTTTTTTCCATCCATTTTTGTCATAAATATTGCCAATGCTGGTTGTACCTTGTATTCTGACAGGTTTTCTATATTTTCGTATGCGCCGTACGCGCGGCGATATAGCTTTGTGTAGTGCTTAAATAGTTTCCTCGTCACCTCGTTCACAGTCGCCTCATTAGCAAAACAAACAAAAACGCCGAGTC